AGGTGGCGACTCTGTATCTGGCAAAGCAGTCCATGTTTGGCACTTCTTTCAAAAATCTGTTTTTCTCAAAAACGATTTGCCGGATTTGGACTCTTTGGTTCAGACTTAGAACCGTGACTACGAAAGTCGAGTCCGAGCTGTAGCGAGGTCCCCCGCGGGCTTGTTACAGCAGGTCTATCAAATGATCAGAGGAGAGTTTGCTTTTGACGAGCATGTCATCGACGTAAACTTCCATGTTCTCACCTATCTGATGGTGAAAGACGGCATTGACCAACCGTTGGTAAGTGGCTCCAGCATTTTTCAATCCGAAAGGCATAACACGATAGTGGTAAGTTCCTCTGTCTATGATGAATGAGGTGTGTTCCTGGTCAGCTAGGTGCATCAGAATTTGATTGTAGCCAGAGAAGGCGTCCATGAAACTGAGTATTTGATGTCCAGCTGTAGCGTCGACAAGCAGATCTATGTGGGGGAGGGGATAACTATCTTTGGGGCAAGCCCGATTAAGGTTAGAATAGTTGACGTAGAGTCGCCATTTACTGTTGTTTTTACGGACCAGGACCACATTTGGCAGCCATTTGGGGTAGTCTACGTTCTTAACAAACCGTGCCTCTAGTAGTTTGTCTACCTCGGAAGCAATAAGAGCATTGCGTTTCGGGTGAAAGATACGCTGCTTCTGGCGGAAAGGTTGGAAATGGGGCTCGATGCTGAGACGATGAGTGATGAAGGAGGGATCAATACCCGGCATGTCAGAATGGGTCCAGGCAAACATATCATTGTGCTCGATTAGGAGGGTTGTAAGGTCGGCCTTGGCTTGGGAAGATAGTTGGCTGTCGATCTTGGCTATTTTTGTTGGGTTGGTGGGGTCGATGGGGACCTCAACAAGTTCTTCCACTGGTTCCCTTGTGACTAACTTGTCTTCGTCTCTAACGTCGAGGCCTTCGATGATCATAGCCTCCTTCAGCTTGATCTCTTTGAAAGAAGCGATGTAGCATTCTCTGACCACAGTCTGCTCTCCTCTCACGGTGCCGACCTCGAGGTCAGTAGGGAATTTCATGGCCAGATGGTATGTGGATGTGGCATCTTGAAAAGCGTTAAGGGCGGTGGGACCGAGGATGATGTTATAAGCAGAGAGACAGTTGACGACGAGGAAAGTGAGCAACTTGGTGGTTTACTGCGGATACTCTCCGATAGTGATGGAAAGATTGATGGAGCCTATGGAGGTCATCCGATCCCTAGTGAAGCCGACCAGTGGGGTTTGGAGAGGTGACAAACTTTCTTCCCCGACCTTGAGCTGGTAATAGGCATTTAGAAAGATGATGTTTGAGGAACTGCCGTTGTCGACAAGCACCCGTCTTACTTTGTAATTGGACAGAAGAGCAGAGATGACGAGGGGGTCGTCGTGAGAGTAACGGATGCCTGTGCAATTGGCCTCCGTAAAGGTGATGGGCTTCATCCACTTTTTGGGGTGTTTGAGGGTGCGCTCCAAAGTCGCGACTTCTTTGTCGGAGCCCTGTCTGATTTTTCTGAATTCAGCTTGCTGGGCCGAATGGAACGGTCCTCCGCACGCAAGTCCGCCAGCAATGACTCTTCTCTCCAACCGGGGGAGCAAGGTTTCCTTGTGCTCGAGGTTGCGGTGGAGGCCGATCATTGCCTTGGTTAGGTTGTGCGGGTTGTCGGGGAGAAGTGTGTCGGCAATTGCCCCTAGCAGGTTCGGTCCTCGGCCGTTGCTGGGGACGGGCTGCCGTGAACCGACTGAGGTGCCCCTGGTGTATCAAGCTTTCTACCTGGTCTTTAAGGTTAGCACATTCCTCAGTGTTATAGCCGTGGTCCTGATGGAAACAGCAGTATTTAGATTGGTCTCGCCGGGTGGAAGGAGACCGTGAGGGTTGTGGCCACTTCAAGTTGTAATCTCGTTGGATCTGGTTTAAGACTTGTTCCATGGGGAAGTTGAGGGGTGTGTACCGTTCGAACAGACTGGGCAGTCGGGTAGGTGCCGGTCGGTCGGCTCGAGCGGTTCGGTCGGTATACTGGGGCATTTGCTGTGTGTATTGGGTGGTTCTGATTTCAGATTCCTTTCTCTTCTCTTTGAGGGTTGGGTTTTTGGTCGTGGAATCTTGGTGAGCAGCCAAAGAATCTTCGGCATTCATGTACTTTTGGGCTTTGGAAATGAGGGTTGCCATGGAGGTTAGAGGGTTTTTGGAGAAGGAAAAAAGGAAATCGGATGATCGTAGGCCAACCATGAAAGCCGTGAGAATAACCTTGTTGTTGTTTTCCGCCACCTGCAAGGCTTCGGTGTTGAAATGAGTGACGAAGCTACACGGCGACTTCCCTTCCGTCTGATAGATGTTGAGGGGCTAGGTCGCTGGACGCCGCTGGCGTTGGGCACCAATAAAATGGCTAAGGAATGAGTCGCTTAGGTGCTGGCAAGTAGAGACGGAGTCCGTCGGTAGCTAACTAAACCACAGTCGGGCTGACCCCTTAAGTGTCACGGGGAAGGTCCGACATATGATCTCATCAGGAAATGCATGGAGGACCATCAGGGTCCTGTAGGTCTCCAAGTGGTCGACTGGGTCCGTTGTGCCGTTAAAGGAGTCGATAGAGGGCAATTAGAACTTAGGAGGTAGGGGTTTGTCCCTGATGGAAGCGACGAACGATGAGCTGGCTGTTGTGGAGGGTTTATTCTGCATGTTCTGCATGACTTCTTGAAGCTGGAGTTTCACAGCTCGGAGTTCCGTATCCCAAATAGGAACGCTGTCATCACCAAAATGCAATGGAGGCTGGACACTACTGGCCTCTCCCTCGGAAGCGGGTGCTTGGACTGATGGATGTGGACCCCGAGATGGCGGGTTCATATCTTGGGGAGGGGGTCGCAAACCCTCCAAGTTAGAAGGGTGGGCTTGCTGGAAGGGATGGCTTGGGGCTCGTTCTCGGTTATGTGGGATATCTTGTGATAGTAGAGGAGGCACAGGGAGGTCTCGTTGAAGCAAAGCATTAATCAGGGCTTGGTTTTGTTCGGTTAGACGGTTAATGCTGTTGGTGAGTTCTGTGAAATACCACGGTGGGTTGTTTGGGTTAGGAGGGTCGACTTGGGGGTCGGCAACATTGTGTTGAGAAGCCATGGATCTAGTTGTAACCATCCACCTTGGTGGGTGACATGTAGGGATTATCGGGAATGGGTCTCCGGCGACAATGAGCACAATTGTCACACGGAATGAAAGGTTCCCACAGACGCCGCCGGCTGATGATACTGCGGGTTTCTAAGTAACGGGTCGGGCTGATCCAGCCTCGCACACGATTGTTCGATTGCTGGCCCACTGAGAAGCCTGTACAAGAGTTTAACGGGGAACGGGAGTCCCCCAGCGAACCCTCTGACGAGCAAGTTAGAGAAGAGATATCAACGGAGTATAGAGATAGGATGGTGATAAAGAACTTAACCTTCTCTTTGTCTTAGAAACCTGCTTATATCCTTTGTTCATCATTTCCTTGTCCATTCTGACCTGTCATGTTGGCCGAAAGTCTATGTTCTAGCCTGCCTTGTTCATGGTGAGGCTATTCTGTTCCATCGTGAAAGGGTTATCGCATTAAATGCTGCAGGGAATTTCATTAATGGTTGATGTGTGGCATAATAACTCTGCAAGATCTTTGTCTGCTTATGTGGTTGGTCCTTCTCTTGACACGTGTTTAGATGTCATTGGTCCTTAGTGCAACGTCGGGCTCCAACAACATTAGGCTTTAGTGTTTGAATTATGTATTGAGCTCTAAGTGGTAGGCCAAAAGCCCTATAGGCCCACCTACATCACTTACCTTTCTACCCCCTATAAATACATTTGCTGAATCCATGGTTACAACCATCACAAACTAAGCATCTCTCAAGGAACATTCTAGGAAATCAAAGAACATTCTGGGAAAGACAGCGAAACCAAGGAATAGGTAACATAATCAAATCAGAACAATTTTTGCCGAATATGAAGCAGATTCTGGCACATGCTAGTGGAATTCCAGTCAGCTCATCGTTGGTGGCATATCCAAACAGATTTTTTCTAGAGCCTGCTAGCGGCCAATACCATATTCCTCCTTCAAATGGGCCTCTAAAATTAAAGCAGTGTAAGTCTGTCCATTACACTCATCGCCAATAAAGAGATAAATTATTATTTTTTTACTTGCTAGTTTTGAATTATTAAATTGAGAAGAGACATTGTTTAACAATTGACTTGTAACTAATGCGCAGATAAAGTAGATAGGATGAACAAACTTGGAGGAAAAGCAGACAACCTTGAAAATGGCATACGAGAGCACGGTAACTAACTGTTTCCTTCATTCAATTGAGTCTGAGAATAAACTAAATTCAAGAACATAGTTGTTTATTTTTCTAGAAAATTATTCAGTGTTTATTGGCATCTATATCATATTAACAGCTCAATTTGTTTTGCTGCCAAAAAGAAGCCAGAAAAACAAATTGAGAAGTTTTGAAATCAAAGAAATATTAAGAATTTGTTTGGTTTTTGTTGAAAATCCAGAATTTTGCTTGCATTTCCTCTGCCTTCTCAACATTGAAACAAAATTGATGATCATGATATGTCTTTATCAGCGTCTTAAATTATTTTTGAAAATTGCAGTGAGTTTGGGGCCCAAGATATCTGAAACTGTGAAGGGGAAACTGAACTTCGGGGCTAAAATTATTAGAGTAGGCGGTGTGGAGAAGATTTTCAAGCACAATTTCAGCATTAGAGAAGGAGAGAAGTTGTCAAAGGCTTCCCAATGCTATTTATCAACAACAGCTGGTCCAATAGCAGGCCTCCTCTTCATCTCCACCTACAAGGTCGCCTTCCGCAGTGAGAGATCCATCAAATTGTCTTCTCCGAATGGGCAGGCAGTAATCCATTACAAAGTGAGTCAATATGTATGTTTTTGTCCATGTCTGAATTCATATCCATTCTTTCTAACATCTTAAATAAATATATAATAGCCAAGTAATGTGTATTACATGCAGGTCTCGATCCCACTAATAAAGATAAAAAGAGCCAATGGGAGCCGAGTATTAGGGGATGTAAAGAAGCCGAATACTATTCTTAGAGAATCGAGATATATACATTGCATTCGGCCCCGTCTTATATGAATTCAGAGGTATCCTAATCGGTCATAGAACCAGTTGAGCGAGGAGCCGAGTGGAGATTGGTCTGCAACAGAAGGAGCCGAGTAAATAATTGCACAGTGGACTAAAAGTGGGCCCAACCCTGAGGCCCAGAGGAAAATATAAATAGAGGAACATCAACCAAAGAGAGGTATGTGAGAACAAGTAAGCTTAACTTAAGATAGAAGCAACCAAGAGAGTAGTTACTGACTTAATTGTCGGAGTGCTAATTCTGGTACCCCCGACCGGAGTGTTCATTCTTTTTCAAGTGACTAGCTGTGGATCACAAGCACCCTCCAGGACCTGAAGAGTATTTTCGAACCACTTCTCCACACTCTAGAAAGCCGCAAAACGGGAAATCTTCCCCTTCCCAGACAAAGCGTCCGTTCAGGGTTCCTTGGATAGGTCTATGTAGTAACTCATAGTGCTTCCCAGCTTGTTTAGCCTTGGCTCTTCCAGCAATCTCTTTTCCTTTTCTCACCCAATCCTCTTTGGTAGGTGTGTAACCTAGGCCAAAGGTATGAGGATTGTGTGGCACTTCGGCCAATTCAGCGATGCCCTTCCGGCCACTCCTTTCTAATCCCATTTCGGGTATATGTTGAAGCTTATTTATGAGGTAAATAGATTGGGCACTGACATACAGGCCCTCATCAACAGCTAGAAGATCTTGCAGTACCCGAGCCTCAGCCAAGGTGAACCCATACAGGAAGACATCCACTTCGCCATGTGCAATTTCCAAGATTGGCATAGTAACCTTTGGCGGCGGATGTATGGAAGAGTTTCCAAAAACAATTGCTACCCCATTCCCATGGGGGTATTTCAGCATCTGGTGTAGGGTGGAAGCGACAGCCTTCACTTGATGCAGCCTCGGCCGTCCAAGGAGTAACACTACAACAAAAATAGTCTTTAAAGACGAAAACTAATGATGAAAATAAATTTTGTCACAAAATACGTATCTTTTAATGACGAAAATAATATTTCGTCTCAAAATGTACCATTTTTAGAGACAAAAATAAAATTTCGTCACCAATCTAAATACATAATAAAAAAATTAGGTGACAAAATTATTTTTTTTCATTATTTATATTTTTTTTGTCACCAAAGATTTTCCTACATTTTTTTTTGGATTTTGAGACTTTTGGTGAGGAAAAAATTGGTCACCAATTATAAAATTATTAGTGACGAATATATTTTTGTCACTA